CTACTAAATCCTTCCTCATAGATATGTCTACATGCCTGGCCCTGGATTCAGAAGAAATGAATAAGGAGATTCAGTGGAATCTGAAGGAACTGTAGACCCAGCTGCTGCCCCACACCAATAAGGTGAATCAGCAGATCTCCCCAGTATACCAAAACTGTAATAACACTGGTTCCTACAGAAATCTTCAAAGCATAATTATGGCTATTGTTTTACTTCCACTTTCCAAATCTCACCCAAATTTCTATCATGGCCTACCATAATCCAAAACCATATAGTTAAGTTGTTATTATATATCAATTTATCATCACATGAAACATTTAATTGAAAGAGTGAATAAATGAATTGATAGATGGTTGGATGAACTTGTGAAATGTGCCAGTCACACATTTGCTCTGTTTTTTTTTTCTTTCTCATTTTTTGTTATATTGGTGATTCAGCTCAATCTTTCAGTACTCTACTACATAAACCAGTAGTTTTTAAGTATAATGAGAGCAGATTAAAATACCTGAAGAAAATTATCATGATATTAAAAAAATCTTCTATAAATGAAGTTGGAAACCAGGGTTTTCACTTGGCTGAGTGAGCATGGGAAATAATTTGAATTCTCTATTTTTTTTTTCATTTTTAAAGATTTTATTTATCTACACATCCAGAATTTACAAGCCAGAGGTTCAGGGGCGGTGAGAGGATTCACCAGCGACAGAGTGGGGAGCAGAACAGGGAGATCTACTGAAATACACTGCTGAGGGGAGCAGCAGGCAAGACAGGAGAGGCCTGCTGCACAATGTGGGTCACTTTCCTGACCTGGAATCAAACTTGTGTTGAAGTCACTGTGGCCAGCTCTGTATTGCTGTACTTTAACCTGCTGTACCACTAGGGAGGGCCCGAGTTCTCTATTTAACAAAATAATAAGTTGACTTAGTAATTCATATTTCAGTTAGTCATAGTATTCTATAATTTATTTTAGTTATGTTAACAGGTAAAAGCCTATATCTAAGATGATTTCTCATTAGACATAATTGGTTATAATTTTTATTTTAATTTTACAATGAAAATACCTAATTTATTCAGCTTTGTAGAGAGTAGAGAATGTAAACATTTCAAATTTCCCAAACTATAAGTTTATTGTGCTACTAGGCATGTTTGCTTGCTATAAATGCCTGCTTATAAGAACATATGATCATACCTGCTTTTCCCCAAGTTAAAAGTCAAAAGAATTAGAGGAAGAAATTGAATATTTTTCTATTTGGATTTGTTTATAGACATTGATATAAAATGAATGCAGTTAAATAATGAAGAAGTTTAAGTAAATAAATCAAATGTTATGTATTTATTAAGTCATATTTCTTGTTTTACGTTAAGTCCATACATAAAAATTTTCTTCAAACATTTTATAGGCATCTTTGATGCTATCTTTATTATTTTAGTCATATTTTCATTCATACCATAATATGAATTAAATATTTCATATTACAGTATTAGAAAGTACATAATCTTAAGGTCCATTTCTAGTCTTTAAAATGGCACTTTTCAATCTATACATGATGCTGTGTATGTCATTGGAAATACTGTTATCTGGGGCACAATTACCAACATATATTTCTTGTTTGTTTTGAGAGATTTTTAGATAGGTGAAAGTTGTAATCCAGAACCTCTCCCTGTGATATAAGTGATTTTTTTTTATTAAGATAGTGAGGCACAAAATTGGAGTTTTGAGGAAACACTCCTAGGAATAATCCCCAAATTTTCTGTCTTCCTTTTCTCTGCCTCTTCCTTATTCTCCCTTCCCCTTACATCCTACTCATCCTTCTATCCCTCATTTTGCTTTATCTTTTTCTGTAAACAATTCTACCACTTAGCATCTATCAGCATCTAAAATAACACTGAAGTCATTTGAAATTAATGTACCTTCTGAAATAATACTTTTCCAGTTTTCATAGGACAATTAAGCATTTTAGAGCCATGAGTAAATATATTTAGTGTTTCTATATACTTCATACCCACTAAGTTGATCTGTATGCTCCAAATTCTTTGTTAAATATGATTCTGCTTTTAACAATTGCAATGATAGTTTTATTTAGTTGTATAGAAAATTACTATGCTGATCCAGATCATAGTCAAGACATACACTCAAAATTTGCCTGAAAAGGAAAATAAAATTTTAATCATTAAGAATCATTTTCATTAAGATAAGTTAACTTTCATATATTTGTCTTTGAAAAGCATTCACTACTCATAATTGCTATAATACCAATAAACAAAGAACATTCACATCAGCATTATGTCTGCCTTTAAAAATTTTAACAGTCTTAAATTTGAATTGAATTTCCCACTTGCCCCAAATCATATATTGTAGCTCTACTATTCAGTGGTTCAGAATGTGGCTTTATGTGGAGATAGGCTCTTTTAAGAAATAATTAAGTTAAAGTGAGGTCATTAGCATGAACCCTAACCCACTGTGACTTGGGTTCTTTTTTCTTAAAGATTGAGTTTTTATTTACTTTCACATACAACAGCTGGGTTGTAAGGCAGAAGTGCAAGGGTGAGAGGATTCATCAGAGACAGAGTGGAGAGCAGAATTGTCAGATTGATGAAGTATACTGCTGAGGGGAGCAGCGGGTGAGACAGGAGTGGTCTGCTGCCCCAGGTGGATCACCTCCTGGCCAGGGATGGAACTCTCACTGAAGTAGCTGCAGCTAGCTTGCACTACTGTGTCCTAACCCATTGAGCCACCAGGGAGGGCCCCATTCTGTTTAATAGTTGACTTTTCTCAAAAGTATATTCAGTTGTCTATCAGTAATGCAGATGGTTCTCTCATATTAAAAGGATAAAGGAAAAAAATAAGGACTAGATGTTATCAGTCAAAAGAAATACCGGTTTTCATCACTTATATTCAGATATTTGGGGTTATTTTGAATTCTTTGCCTGGTACTCCTTTGAAATATATTCACTAAAACTGTAACTAACTCATAGACATACTTGAAAATTTAGGGCTTGAATTAAATAGTTTGAGGATTGTTTTGGCTAGAAAAACCATACAATTTAAAGATAATAGAAAATACCACCTAAATAGTTATCTAAAGGTACTGGTTAATCAGTTAAAATTACTCTAAATATTTACCATTGTTATTTTTATTCCTTGAGTGTTTATTAACATCCGCATTTTAAGCTTTGCAGAACTTATTAGAATATTTTTGCATATATCAAATAAAGACAGGCTTAAAACCAGAATATCTCTTGATATTTCCCAAACTACAGTTTAATGTTTTCTGTTTAAGTAACAATAGTGTGATTAAGTCATGCCCAAGATTTCAGGCTCAAGCATACTCACCAAGGATCACAAACTTTTAAGGTTTCCCACATTTTCTTGGAGTTTGTTGATTTTGGGTGGGTTTTCCAGATGAGGAGGAAATGGAAGAATTTGACTGATGTTCCATCACATTGTAAATATAGAGTCCTTAAAATGTAAGTGGGATTCTTTGCACTGCACTGTAATATATGGCCATAGATCTGTGGTCTGTCTTAATAAGACCTATATCGCACATGAAAAATTCTGCCACCCTCCACTAGTGAGTTCCGTGAAGACACTGCGAAGGAATGAAAGTTGCATAGTTTGGAGTAGGGAAACTTGATGATTTATTCATCAATTATCCATATAAAATAATACATTTAACTTCTTTGTGTTAATGGAAGAATGTCATAAATCAAGGCGAATTAAATAATGAAGATGTAGCTTCTAAAATATCAACTGACATTCTTCATTTCTGTTTAAAACAGTTTAATTTTCATCTGTCATATAGCATTTCATGTATGTGTGTGTATATATACATACATATATACACACATATGTGTGTATACACACATACATCTTGGCTTTATTCCATTTTTTTGTATTTTATAAACCACCCTATGCAGTGACTTCTATGATGCAAATAGATAATAAATGAAGAACAGTACTTAGTATAGCTTATTATGACATAGTTATGAATTTTTCCCTTTTCAAATATTTAACAAAGTAAAAAAAGGTCATAAAATACATAGTAGTGTATTTATAGTCTACTTTGAAGCAGTTCTGATGTTTTACTTAATACATCTAAGCCTCAATTTTATCAAAAAGAATAGTTTTGTAAAGATTGCATGTCAGAAATAACATTTAGCTCAGAGGACACCAGTTCTAAGGAAATAATAAAATATAACTCAACAAATATTCATACATTTGTAAATGTAATTCTAAAATTAAGATCAATAAATGTTAATGATACTGTCAAAATTACCTTAAAGCATACAAAGTTCTTATTAACAGCTCTTATTGTCCCTATGGGAACTACGCATATCAAAGATGTCAAAGCAACTCAGGCGTATGGACTGTTCAACTAATGGGATTTATCCTTTAATCCAGTGATGTATTCTGTGACCTTCTTTTGGTCTTTAGTATCCATAAAATAATAAATTGTTTATGTATATATTACATATATATGAGTCCTTACATACTTATACCCAAGGGGTCTTTATATTATACACATGCATGCACACATACGTAATGCATGCATGCAATATGTATATGGGAAAAGTGGGGAAGATGGAAAACTACATCTGCAGTATACACTGCATTGTATACTGAGTGAAAGTGAGCTTGCAGGTGGTGGCTACTTATAGATAGTGCTTTCAGGAAACATGGGTTATTAACATCAATTCAAGACACTAAATCAGTTGAAGGCAAATGAAGAGCTGAAAAATGAAAATTACTTTCAGATATTACTAATCTGTACCAGGTTGGGCTGGAAGCCTAGCAATAAAACATTCTTGATCTTAAAAAGAAAAAAAAAATACCAACAACATTCTTGATCTTATTACTCATCACATGAATCACTTATTCCACTTATTATTTAATTCTTGTTATTTTAAAGAGTACTTCTGGGGTGTTTTTACTTAAGTATAAGAAATTATGATCTTTGTTCAAACCTTTGACTTTTTTGTTTGTTTGTTTGTTTTCTCTTTAGGGATGCAGATCTGTTCTTACTAGACACAAGAAAGGCCCAGGCTTTAGATGTGGGTTGGCTTGTTTTTGATATCACTGTGACCAGCAATCATTGGGTGATTAATCCACAGAACAATTTGGGCTTACAGCTCTGTGCAGAAACAGGAGATGGTAAGCACTGACTTTCACAAATTTTTTTTTTTTTGTGGTGCTGATTTTAATGCATTGAGGGTTACAGTTGTATGTGATATAGACAATGTATGTTTTATATTTACAATTGACAAGAAGGCATAGTCCATATGATAGGACAATGTGTAAGTCAGTTTACCAATTTATGACCACACTTATTGCCAGGGTCTGTAGTAGGGGGTGTTTAGTCAAACATTGAAGACTTGCATGTAAGCAAGTAACAATACTACAGTATGCCACCACCAAAGGGAAGCTTCATAGTATGTGAAACTTATCTATATCTTGATTGTGGCAGTGGCTACAGACAATATCATTTGTAGAAAGTGATGCAACTATATAATGAAGAAGAATGCATGTTAGTATATATATATATATATATATATTTTTTTTCAAAACCTACTTTTTAAAAAAGCAAGGCAATGTCAGTTAAATAAAAGTCATTAGTGAAACAAAGGAACTGCCATTACGGAGAAGGTGAGGAGGGAAGATAAGGGTGGAAACCCAAGGAAAATAATATAAACTAAATCTTAATATATTGTAAAATAGCTTACAATATCTTGCTGTATTATATTATAATATTTTGCTCCATATCACTTGTGGTAGAGCAGGATAGGGAATCTTCATTTTTAGGAAACTACAGAAGTTATTCTTATGCTCATAAGTATTCATTGAGCAATTATGAGCAACTGTATAGATTCTATAGAAAAAAATTAGAAATGACTTTTTGAGGCTTGTTGTTGAGTGAAGCACAAGGGAGCAATTCACGCAATAATATTGTTTAATGTGACCCACAACAAACTGAGAAGAGTGCAGGGGACTTGAGAGTATAGAATAGTGAATGATTTGAGCCACCATATTAAAAGATCAGGGAGATGTAATTAGGGAAAGAAGTGGAGCCATCACTTCAGACAAATGGAACAAAATTTATATTGCTTCTCAGTTGAGAAGCAATGAAGCCAAGGCCAATTTATTCAAAGCTTTAATGGTCTTTGATCACTTAAAGAATCCACAATATCTAAATTCAGATCTAGACTTCCAGGTCATCTAAAATGGTATTTGCCATGAATGTTGTTAGAACAGTATTTATTGCATGAATTGTTAGCTTGATTAATAAATTTTAAATATTTAGACATGTATCAAGTGGACCTACTTTGTGTGTTTGCCCACACATACGACAAATGTTACTCTTCCAGCCCAGGGTGGGTAGTTTTGAAAGGGTTGATTAATTATCGAATGTACCTTATTTAAGTTTTATAGACTTTAATTTTCTGGAGTATCAGGGAAAGTAAACATTATCCCAAGTCTTTCTCATTCATTCTTTCTTACTGTATTATATTAAAACTTGCCTAGATAGCTACAGATTGAAGACAGTTTAGGTCTGTTTTGAGTCTCTTTCAAAGGGGTTTCATTAACACTAAGTAATAAGACTTTACCATGATCCTAATTTAACCATAACTAGACTCACAGCCTGTGAATGATACCTTGGGTTGTCATGTTAATTGATACAAGTTAAGTGTATTCCAGAGTTAATCTACCAAATGTTTCATTTACCTTGGGTTTTGATATAGAAAAAGAAACTTCTTATCTAAAGTATTACAAATAAGTTTCAGAAAATTTCCACCCAAATCTAAACCTTTCCATATATTTCAGTCACAATGACAAATTTAAAAAAATATTTCATAAATAATTCAAATATTTTGAATTTTATATTTTTTTCATTATGGCTGTGAGATTGTCATTAAGGAGTAGAAGCATTAAATATAGGCTAAGAAAAGTTTAAGTTATTGTGAATCACATTTTTTTTTTACTCAATTTACTGTTGCAATTTTTTCAAAGGTTTCTAAATGAAGAATTTAGCTTTGAGACATACAGTCTTTTGTTACTTTTCTTTGTTTCTTTAATAGTGTCTTGATGAAAATCTTAAAATGGATAAATGTGGCAGACATTTGCTTTTTTTTTTTTTTTTTGCATTGCAGCATTGTGGATTTAACCACAATTAGAACATACATGATCTTGCGAAAACAACTGCCCCTGCTGGTAGCTTACTTTATTAATTGCAACCTCACTGAGCTTGTACAAGTGGCATTCTCTACAAATATGGCTAGCCAGATGAGTCAGCTTGTTCTTGTTTCAGTTGTCATCAAACTGATGTTCTCAGCATGATCCTGTGATATTGCTTCAAACAGAGCAGATAATCCATTTTTTTTTATCTGCAACAAATGATTCCCAATATGTTTAATTCTCAGGAAAAGAATTGAAAATCACAAAGTCTGCTTTGCAATAATTTTGTTGACAATTATGCATTTTATCATTTGTAGGGGTTAAGTTATTAAGTACCTCTACATGCAAGGCGACATGTTAAAGGGGAATACAGCCTGGAAGACAGACATAAGTAGCTAACTTTACCAAGAACAAAATGAATTCAATGCTAAAAACAGTGAGACAATTATGATACTTTCGGAAAATAGAAGTAAAGTGATTAAGTTCAAATAATCAGGGACAAAAGACCATGGCCCATGTGTTTTTGTAGTACATCTTTTGGGTAATATGTAAAGAAATGCAGATGAATACAGGGGGAATTTAGGTGGCACATAGAGTGGTGGTGAAAACAGGAGGAGGAATTTATTGCTAGATGAGGAGACAAAGTTAGCAGATTCCCAGATGGCATGGTATATTCTGTACAGTGTCAGTAGTCCCAACTTGGCTAGCATAATTTTCCTGTATAAAATATGACTGTTGATAGAATTCAGAAAGTGTTTTGGAAACAAAGAAGGAACATGGATTTTAACTTATGGTTAGTTTATTCGTGTAGCTTGATCAGATGTCATAAAGAACCAGACTCGCTGTTTAGTTCATCATAGCAGCATCTTTATGATTACAAGTTTCAATAAGTACCAGCTTCATGAGATCAGAGGGTTATGTCCTTCAGAGTTGTGCCTTCAGTTCTTGATACTGTACAGATTTGGACATTAAAAACATGTCTGAACATTCTAGCTGCAAGATGACAAGAGTCTCTGTTACTATAATCACATGTGGACAGCAATCGAAATTGAGTTCCTACCATTCAGTGTACTATTTAGCAGTTAGTAGATACATTTTAGACTCTTCCATTTTGTATGGAATGACATCAAGATAATGTAATTAGCATTACTTAAGCTTGACTAAAATATTGAAACCTCAAAAAAAATTAACTGCTCAGTGAATGAGATTGTGATAAAAAAAAAAAGATTAAGTAATTAGCATTACTTTAACTTGAATGAAATATTGAAACCTCAAAAAACAAACAAAAAATGTTTTGAATGCTCAGTAAATGAGATTGTGATTAAAAAACTGATAGACCACCTGCCACTGAACATGATAACCTTACGAAGACATTCAAATCTGTAAACTTGGGGTAATTATCAACTAAGCCAGTTGCAGAATGTTTATACTATAAATCACAGTACCATCAAATTTTTCAATAATAAGGTGAGGAAAAATTCAATGATGGTATTTTATCTGTTCCTGCAAAGAAAATAGCTGAGAGAACTAAATGTATTTTTGGAAATCAAAAACCTGTTGAAATCAAAAGTAGCTTTATGATTCCTCAGAGGACCTGTGGAAATATGTCTTTTTAGAAATTTGACAAATGAACTGCCATGGATTTGGCAGGCGAGTTTAAAAATATTCCATTAATTTTTTTTTTCAGGGGGAACAGATAATTCTCTTAGCTCCATATGTTTGTTTCAGCAAAGTAAAACAAACATATGCACAAGCAAACAAAAAAGAAACATTGCTGCTTTTTGATTAATAGCCCAAAAGATTTCAGACAAATGGCTGTATCCAGTTGTACAAAATCAGTTTCAAAGCTCTCATTCTCTTATGATAATTAATAAACATCTATGATAACATATATGTATTTTTTAAATAAGAAATGAATAAGTTTAGGTGTGCTCATAATTTATTGTAGATTTTCAAGTCCCTAAATTAGAAAGGCGCGTTATAATTTCCTTATTAAATTTGGTTTTTATTATAAGGTCTTTATTAAATTTATTAATCTGTGGAATTATTCTTACACATGTAAACACAGAGTTTATTATAAGCACAGTAATTTAGTATACTTTTAAGACTTGGGGTCCTCCCCCATACTCTTAACTTTCCATTGTTGGATACTTAATGCAATTTAAACTTTTCAACTAAATGAATTCTTTTTTCTTCCTGACAAATTGAATAGGATTTATAGAATAATTTAAAGATGGAAAAACAAAGATATATTTTTAGGTTCATTAGAATATCCTTTAAATAAACCCTATGTTTTCAGACATTTTAGGTTTGGCAAACCTTAGAATAAATTTTGCCAATGACTTTTTTCCCTGGCTGCTCAAACCCACTTATACGTCAGGAAAAATTCAATCTGTATGTTTCTGATTCATTTATATTCATGTCATCAAAATGTTGTTTTGTCAGAGTATTGTTTAATGTCCAAGAAACATGATAAGGCTATTTTTCTTTTTCAATAAGACTCTAGAGTCTTATTTTTTTCAAAGTCATGGCATGATTTTCAAGAGTATCAAGGTAAAAATTGGGATTTAAATTAAGAGATTTTGAAGAGTCACTAAGTCTTATATCCAAATCAAGAAAAAAAGATGTCAGAGGTTTAATTTAATCATATAATTAAATTCTATTATAATTGATTCTTATTATCAAGGAATTATATTGATTGCTCTTATAATTTAGAATTTAAAGCTTTGATAACTAATTTAAATAAGGACAATAACTAAAATAGATAGCCTCATTTTAGAAATAAAAATTCTAAGAAGAGATTCTTAGAAAATTAGATTACCATCTCGGCTCTGCAAAAATATTTCCTGTTTTAGCCTTAACATCAATAAAATGAGTGTAGTTCTCTTGGGAGGGCTGTGCTTGAGTATACTGGATAATAGAACATACATTGTGGTAGAGCAGAAATAATTGTTAAGCCGAAGTGGACTAACCAGCATAAA